GGCACACAAGCCCTCAAACTTGAGCACAAGGTGCAAAATGAAGACTGTAACAAATCGTTACCCCAAGTTAATTAAGATGTTTTCAAGAGGGTAAGGTTGTAAATACACTAGAATTGGGTTTATCTTTAGCAAGAAGAAAGCCTACTGACGGGTACGAAGGGATTTGGCATTCAAAAACTCCCTCTTATCCATCCTATTGGTATAAAATAACTTCCAAGCTAGTATTCATTCTGTCCTAGAAGCGAAGGCGAGCGCAAAGCCTATTGATTCACCTGATTTCTAACCTACTTATCGGATACCTACACTTTGTAATCAGAATAAGGCTCTTAATTTCTCGATGGAAAGTCACAAAAAATGTAATGATTAAACTTATACTCTCGTCGACTAGGTTTTTAAACATGGGATTTTTGTTAACTTGAACACTTAATTGATTGAAAGAAATTTATGAAAGAGATGTAGATGATCAACTTGTTTCTTTTAATTGTGATGACTGATTGAAGTCATGTTGTAATTGGTCCTACTTGTCAATTCTCTAAGTGACTTCTAATTGTAGTAGTCGATTGCAATCGTGTTGTAGGCAATCTTGTGAATTCTTTCTTATAACCCTTAATCGTGGTGACTAATTACAATTATATTGCAAGTCTACTCGTCGATTCTTTGAATAGATTTTAATTGTGGTAGATGATTGCAATTTTGTTGCAAGCGGTCTTACTTGATGATTCTTCTTTTTTGCTTTTAATGGCGGTGGCCAATTACAATTGTATTGGAAGTGGTCCTACACAATTTTTTTTGTGTCACTTTTAATCATTATGGACAATTGCAAACGTTTTTACTTCTAATTGTGGCGAGTAATTACAATTGTGTTACAAAAAAATCTCATTCATTGATTCTTGTTTGTTATAATGTAGTCATCAATCGTGAAAGTTGATTGTATAATATTTCAACCAGTAAGTTCACTAATTTAAATTTCATTTAATTGATGTAAATATGGAAATACGAGTCTGCCTTTAATGATAACAAAATTTAACAAAACTCAACAAAAAACTTAATGCAAAGACTAAATAATAAATAAAAAAAAGCAAGTTATCCAAATGCAACGTTTGAAAACTCCTTGCTCGCAAGTTATCCATATAACGTTTTCATGCCACCTCTTGATTAACCCAAAGCACCCTTATTGAATCTTCCTCCAAAAAGAACTTGATTTTTAGATCAGCAATTGACACAATTGAACCCAACTTTTTCAAAGTTGTCCTTTTTACATGCATTATATATTAGATACCACATGGCAATCCATTGATATGTGCATTTGTTATTCTCGATCTTGAAGGGGACAACTGACATATTTTATTTACATTGGGTCGAGTAGGTGAGGATGTTGAGTAAAGTAAGGAGTGTAACATTCTGGGGTTGAGTACATGTTTAGCCAATAATATGCTTCTTTCACAAAGTAAATTATGGCTAACAATGAATCAGAGGATCTATATGATGTTATTTATGTAAAAGACTTAAAGCTATTTCTTATACCTCATCAATATATAATTTTTTTGCTGTTCAAAAAAAAAAAAGTTGGCCTTTTTAGTAGAATGTTGTATATGGATGGGGCATCAATCACCAAGTACCATACTACTAATGCCTTCACCTTCTTAACATTACCAAATGTGGTTTCTAAGTTGGCGTAACCTCAAACCATGATATGGTCTCCTTTGTGAATCCAACCAAAGCTCTGGGATTGCATCTAGGGCTAGAAATGAGTCAAGTTTAGTCAAGTTCACTAGTAGCTCAATTCAACTCATTAATTAATTCAAATCACATAAACCAGGAAACAATTTTTTTAATCTTATATATTTCAAAATTTTAATATAATAATAAATTTTAGATGAAATGATTGTTTATTTATTTTTTAAAGACAACATAACTTATTCCACTAATTTTTCAAGGTATGACTCCAAAGAAACATAATCCTTACCAAAATATGCATAAATAAAAACAATTCCATCTTGTATAAAATAATAATAATAATAAATGCAATTCATAACCATGAAATTCTAAAGTGTTCACTTCTTTTAGATCTTCAATCCTATGAAAGCAACCAAATATAAACACATCCACCAAATTACCTTGGTCCACCAAAGTGCATTTTATGTTTAAACCATCAAAACTATTGAAATAATGATTGTGTCATCTTCATGAGATGTCACTCCATCATAGTCAGCATTCAAGAAAGTAATGTCGAGATGCTCTCCTTTCTATGACTATCATCACTAATCGAGCATCTCTTTCTCGTCGTCAACATCACCCCTCCCACACAAAACTTCTAACACCTGTGTTAAAATCCCCATATATTGTTTGTTGGAAACCCAAGGTCCCTCCAGCTGAGGCAGAAGAGGGAGGTGGTTCTCTACCATCTCGATGAGATTACTCCACCCATCATACATAGTTCCAAAACCCTCCCTAAAGACTAGGTGTCCTTGAATGCGCTAATGCTTTAATTTCCAAGCCTTAGTGACTCTTAGGCTGACAAATATTTTTCCAGCTTATCCAAACAATTTGTCTTTACCTTCTTCAGAACCCAACAAAAATCTTCTTTGTATGCTCACATTCTTGCTCACCACTCCATGTGGCATTTTGAAACAAAAATGGTAAAGATGATAAAACAAAATTTATGACACAAACCCTTTTAGCTAGAAATAAAAATCTTATTTCTTCACGAGGCAAACTTCTTCTTGAAGTTGCAAATAATTGGTCTCCGTGACTCTTCCAATCTTAGGTTATCTCCAATTAGAATGTCTAAATAAGTACTTTCTCCATTTTTTTTTTCATGGTCGTTTTGTCAGTATTTTGTTATTTTTTTTCATTGTCATTTTACTAGAATTAATGACTTATTAATTTTTTTTCATTTTTATCCTTGATAATTAATGTATATTTGTTGAATAATGTGTCTATTTATTTCTAATATATGTCTACCTATTTTTTCTCTAACCACCTATGTGATTAAATAGAATAAGTTACTGTTTACATGTGTATTCTAATAATTAATGCATTAATTCATGGACAAGTGTGATTAAATGGAGTAGGTTACACTTCACATGTGTATTCTAATAATCAATGCATTAATTCATGGACTTCTCAAAAGGTGCATAACAATATAAGTGTACACAAATAAACAGTTTGAAGACTTGAATGCAAAAAAAAAAAAAAAATAAAGGGTATAACAGGAAAGTAAATAATAAATATTTTTGAAAACTAAAATATCAATCATTTTCTTAAGTTTTATGCAAAACCTTAAACGACTATGAAAAAAAATGAAGGGAGTAAAAGGCCTAGTGATCAATCTATAGTTCAACAAGTGAGTGTAATCATGTAAAATAATTCCCTCCACATCGAATGCACCAAATCAACTTTTAAAGAAATTTACTTTCAACACCAAAACCGTTTTAAAAGGTCTCAATAATGCTTTTGATTAAGATGAAGTTATTTAGATTTATCTTCCTTAGGAAATACGTGTTTTCATCATATTGCAAAAGGCTAATCTCCACCGGCCGGAGGGGAGCGGAGGTTTTTTATTTTTGTTTTTTGAACTTTTGTTGTTTGGTTCAATTTTTAGGAGAAGAGATGAGGGGAATGGATTGGAACAAACAAAATTTATAATATCAGAGACAAAGTGTATGTCTAAAATATCCTTATTTAGATTTCAAAGTTTAAAATTATAAGGGTATAAAGATAATTTAGTTGAGATTCACTTTATACGATTATAGGTGATAATGTCATTTTAACATATAATTTTGAGAAAGCAAAAAACAAAGGAAACAATATGATTTATGCAACTATAAGGGTCTATTTGATTCAAAGAAAAGCAGAGGATGAGAAGAGAGGGATTAAAAGTATGTTTGGTTAAGAGGAGAAGATGAGAGGAAAAATAATAGAGGGGGAAGTAATGCGTTTTTTGTTTAATTCATAAGAGAGAAGAGGAATTTGAAAAATTTACCCTAACCCCAAACTTGATCACTTTCACCTTTACTCTGTTTGGCTCCTCCACCAAGTTTATTTCTACGATATTCAATCCCCTTAATGAATTTTTTTCTCCTCTCTCTCCTTAATCAACATGTGAAAGTTTTTACTATTATTGTCACCTTCCTCGGCCATGCCAACCTACATTTTTTGTCTCAAAAGGGACTAGTTAGACATTATAACCTTACAAAATCTCTCCTATAGTTCCTTAATTTCTCAACTATACATTTTCTCTTCATTCACTATGACCCTCGATGGGCCAAATAGTTTTCACAAAAGATAGAGATTAAACATGAGATTTTCAATCAATAAATTATTTCTAGAACGTGTGACTTTACCAATTTATTGGATTCACTAATTAGTTTAATTTAAAGTTATTTATTATAAATTTAATATATATATATATATTTATATTAATTTTTCTGCAAAATATAATGTAATATAAAAATATTTCAAAAATATTATTACAAATATAATACAAATAAAAAATTAATAATACATTCAAATGTTGAAATTACACTTTCTTTTTTCTTCCACCACAATTTTGGAATGAATGAGTAAACACTTACGTATATAAAATTTGAATCACAATGAAGCGGAAAAATGTATTACTTGACCGAGAAAAAAACCAATATCTATCTGACGTAAGTGAATTAAATGAATCTCACAAATAGCGTTAGTCTCTCTTTGACCAACCAGCCGACACAGAATAAAAAAAAAATGATAGCCCATTTTGGAATGAAAAAAATAATAAATCACGTAAATAGTGGAAAATCCAGCGAAGAAACAACTTCCTCAATGTATATATAACTTATAATCTCAATGTATATATAACTTATAATTTTGTTTGTTTGCTTGCACTACCTTCTCTCTCTATATGTATACAACGGTTTCAGAGTATTCTTAGCCTTCAGCACGTAGAAGTTTTTAACTCTTATAACTCTCAAGCTTAGTTAGAACCTTAGAACCCAATGAAATTTATTCATTTTCCTATGAGAATCATAGTTTATCTACTGTTCGTTCCTTCTCTCATAGTTTTCATAGCAGCGGACACATCATTCAATATTACACAGACAAAGTCCCTTAGTTATGGAAATACCTTAGTTTCTTTCCCACAAGGAATCTTTGAGTTTGGTTTCTTTAATCTAGGAAATCCCAAAAAAATCTACCTCGGGATTCGCTACAAGAATATCCCACTTCAAAACGTTGTTTGGGTTGCGAACCTTGGCAACCCAATCAATGATTCCTCAGCCATCTTGAAACTAAACAGTTCCGGCAATTTAATCCTAACCCACAACAACAAGGTTGTTTGGTCCACAAATTCTCAAAAAGAAGCACAGAATCCAGTGGCGGAGCTCTTGGATTCTGGAAATCTTGTGATAAGAGATGAGAATGCGAGAAACTCAAATCAAGAGGAATATCTTTGGCAAAGCTTTGATTACCCATCTGATACATTGTTGCCAGGAATGAAGGTTGGATGGGACCACAAAAGAAAACTCAACCATCAACTCGTAGCATGGAAGAGTTGGGATGATCCAACCCCAGGTGACTTTTCTTGGGGTTTTGCTCTAAACCCTTTTCCTGAGATATATATGATGAATGGAACCAAAAAGTATCACAGAGTTGGACCATGGAATGGTTTGCGTTTCAGTGGGGTGCCAGAAATGGCGCCAAATCCCGTTTACCTTTACGAGTTTGTCTCCAACAAGGAAGAGGTTTCTTACACATGGACCCTTCAGCAGTCTAGTTTGATAACAAGAGTTGTACTTAACCAAACCACTCTACAACGTCGTCAATATGTATGGTCAGATATCGATGTATCATGGAAGCTATATTCAACGTTGCCTGAAGACGAGTGTGACAATTATGGGGTGTGTGGAGCGAATGCATATTGCAGCATTTCTGCTTCACCCATGTGTGAATGTTTGCAAGGGTTCAACCCTACGTCTCCTGAAAAATGGAACTCAATGGACTGGTCCCAAGGATGTGTCCTTAAACATCCACTAAGCTGCAATGGTAGTAACACGGATGAGTTTATCAAACACATAGACATGAAAGTACCAGATACTACATATACTTGGGTGGATGAGAATATTGACTTAGATGCATGCAGAGACAAATGCTTGAAAAATTGCTCTTGCATGGCTTATACTAATTCGAACATAAGTGGAAAAGGAAGTGGTTGTGTCCTTTGGTTTGGCCAACTATTTGACATCAAAGTGCTTCAAACTGGTGGGCAAGATCTATATATCCGGATACCTGCTTCGGAGTTAGGTAAAAAATATATATTAATCTTTCTTCGTATTACTTTCTTTATTCTGATGATCTTATTATTTTGGAAAACGCATAATCATTCTTTAGATCTGAAAATTTAATTTCATGTTCTTGTTTGTTTGTTTGATCAAAATCAACCGTGAAGAGCGACAGGGTCACAGCAAACGGTCGACTATAATAATTGCTACCACGGTTGTTGCGACTGGTACGATACTTTTATTTTGCATTATTGTCATACTCGGAGTCCGAAGGAAGATTGCTGGTAAGTTATTCACCCATATATTATTATTGTATCTAGAAACGACTACTAGGATTACCACAGTGATTAGGTGGGGAAGATCAGGATAATTAGAAACATGAAAATTAGGTTCAATCATCGTTGCGCCTATTTTTGTAATCTTTCTTGTCTTTACCAAAAATAAAATTGTATTTAGAAACATGATAGTTGTTTTAAATAAATAAATAAATAAATATATATATATATATATATATTGTGAGATAAATAAATACATAGATAAATATTATTAAAAAAAATCGTGCCATAAACTAAAATTAATTTATACATAAATTAAATTATTTTTTAAATAAGAATATATAAGTATTTTTAAATTATATCAAAAGAGACCTGATAAATAATTTGAGGCCAGGTGACATTTCAACATCGCCGAGAATTTTATATGCGTTTAATGATTGCAGTTTCAACTTTGTTACATATAAAAGACTAAACTATCGATTTATTTCGTAGTATTTTTTTTCTTCTAACTAGTTCTTAAATAAAACTGTATCAATAGTGTCTATGTATTAAAAATTATCCTATATAATTCTACGGTACTCACTATTATGGGGTATCGGAACAGTCATTTTATTTTTATTTTTTTATTGTAATTACTTGTTTTATTTTTATTTTAATTTAATACTTTTAATAATTTATTTGTATAAAATTTTCTATATCTTTATATTATTTTTATATTTTTAAATTTATATCTTAATGTAGCATCTATTATAATTAAAAAGTTTAATATTAATATTTTGTTAATATGTTTTAGTTTTTCTTTGGTGATAATTTTTTTGAATTTATAGTATAAATTAGTTTTTTAGTTGTATTATTTGTTTTTTTATTTTAATATTTTTATAATATTATTATAATTTTTTGTTTTAAATTTTTTAATTTTGTCACATATAGACAAAATTTGTTATGAAAATTGACCTTTTGATTATTTTTTTTTGAATTAGTCTTTTTGATTGATTCATCTTATACAAATTTTTAATTTAAAATTTGTTATTTTGAATTTATTTTTTAAAATTTATTTGTTCACATAATTTAATGTACTAAATCCCTTCAATTTTCACAGGTAACATAGCAGCTCCCTTTAAATCTTTTGAATTAGTCTCTCAATATTTGTAAAATATATATATCAGTGTTAGAGACTAAATTGATGATCTTAAATAATTTCATTATTTTAAGGACTTTTTAGAAAGGGTGATACTTCAATGATCAAATTGATAGTTTGCTCTAAATGAACAAACAATGTTCTTCAATGATGATCACACTATATTTTCTGTTTATATTAACAATTAATGTTGCATATTTACCTTTAACTTCTCATTTTTCATGATATTCTTTAATTTATTTTCCATTGTTCCGTTGTCTAGAAAAGTCAAACACAAAAGTGAACATCGAAAGACAACTAGAAGATATGGATCTGCCATTGTTTGATCTTCTAACGATCACCACTGCCACTAATGATTTCTCATTGGAGAATAAGATTGGACAAGGTGGTTTTGGATGGGTATATAAGGTAAAAGGCTGTAAAAGGCTGTGTGTTTATGTGTATTTGTTTTTGTTGTAAAAAAAAAACATATAAAGAACAACAAATGAATTATTTTCATAGCAAGCATCTTCTCAAAAGAGGGCAATTATGCAGGGAAAATTAGACAATGGGCAAGAAATTGCTGTCAAGAGACTTTCAAGTAGTTCTGATCAAGGTATAGATGAATTTATAACAGAAGTAAAACTGATTGCAAAGCTTCAACATCGAAATCTTGTAAAGCTTTTAGGTTGTTGCTTTCAAGGAGAAGAAAAATTACTGATATATGAATACATGGTTAACGGCAGCCTAGATTCCTTCATTTTTGGTATGTAACATGAAGAATGATTATATTAGCTGCACTTGTGATTTTTTACTTCAATCTTATTTATCGGCTTATCAATCTTGAATATCACATATAGTATTGAACAAAATATTCGGTTTGCAATAAAACAGATCAATCAAAAGGTAAATTAATGGATTGGCAACGACGGTTCCATATAATATTTGGAATTGCTAGGGGACTTCTTTACCTTCACGAAGATTCACGATTAAGGATTATTCATAGAGATCTTAAAGCAAGTAACGTTTTACTTGATGAAAAGTTAAATCCCAAAATATCAGATTTTGGAATTGCTAGAGCTTTTGGAGGAGATCAAATTGAAGGAAATACAAATAGAGTAGTTGGAACTTAGTAAGTATTTGTCTTAATATTATACTGTATCACTTTAATTTTTTATGTCATGGTTTTATTGTTCTAATTATTTCTTACAGTGGATACATGGCCCCTGAGTATGCTGTGGATGGATTATTTTCAATCAAATCGGACATCTTCAGTTTTGGCATTTTAATGATAGAAATAATATGTGGGAACAAAAATAGAGCTCTTTTTCATGGAAATCAGACTCTTAACCTTGTCGGATATGTAAGCAATCAAATAATTAATGTATTCTCTATTTATTGCAAAGTTTAAATATAAGTAGTTAACTTTTTTTTTCTTTCTCGTATTATGTTTCAGGCATGGGCACTTTGGAAAGAGCAAAAGGCTTTGCAGTTGCTTGACTCTAGCATAAAGGACTCATGCATTATATCAGAAGTATTGCGATGCATTCATGTTAGTCTCTTGTGTGTGCAACAATGTCCGAACGATAGGCCAACCATGACCTCAGTAATTCAAATGTTAGGGAGTGAGATGGAATTGGTTGAACCAAAAGAGCCTGGTTTCTTTCCAAGGAGGATTGTGGATGAAGGAAATTTAAGCTCAGATCAGAACCAAGTGACTTCAAATGATGAATTAACCATTACCTCATTGAAAGGCCGCTGAAATTATTCACTCAGCCTATCATATTGCATTGACACACAATTTTAGTTTTTCTGATGTATTTGTGTAGTTACATATAAAAATTTAATCACAGGTTTTTGAAAGGGATGTATTTGTCATTTGTGAAGTTGTAGGTTTTTGAAAGTGATATTAAATTTTTGTCAGAATTATCTGAGATTTTCCGGCAATCATATTCAAATATTGTGCCTCTGTAATTTTTTCGTATACTTGTAAAATTAGTTATTTGTTTAGAAATAGTTAGTGTAGTCTAAAGAATGCTTACTTTTGTTGATTAGACATGATTAATACCTGTTTTGACAAAAAATGGGCTTTCATAGTTTGTTTATGCAACTTTGATGTAATTATTACTGCATATAAATATAAATGAAAATATATCATCCTAGTTTTTCTCCATTCTCCTTTTGTTTGTACAATTTTTGTGTTCAACCCTATAAATTATGGTAAATAATTATACTTTTAAGTATTTATTTTATTTTTTAAAATTTAATTTGATTTTTTATCTTTTAAAAAAATTCAATATAGTCCATTTTTTTTCCTGTGAATATCTTTCCACTTATTAGATTAGAGACTTATCTCATTCGAGTATAGATATTATGATTAATTTGACAAGTTTTTATAAATAGTGGGAATCGAACACATGTTTCCACTAAATAAATTGTTCTCACAACATATGTGCATATAATGTATAATCACTATAACAATCAGATTCAATATAGTCATTTATGTATATAAAGAAATTGAAAATGGTTTTTTCCATTACATTTATAATGGTCAACTTTAAAAACGAATTAAATTTGATCACCACATTGGCATACATTCCCATATGAAAAAATATCAAGTTGAACCTTTTTAAAACCTGATCACCAAATGAAACTTATTTAAAACATAAATGATTGGATTCAACCTAACAAAATCAATTGCATCAACTCAAACTCAACCGGCCTACACCAAGTGTACTGAAGGTTCATTATTTCGTGTGGAGATTGGTTAATTCTCGCATCCCAACTATTGACAATCTAGTTAGAAGAAACATCATACTTGAGCCTCAACAAATTCTAGGCTCATTTTGCAAGTCTGATGCGGAAACGGTGTCTCACATTTTTTGCGCATGGCGCCCTCTTAGTGACAAAGTTTGGAAGCAGTGCCTCTCTTGGATTAAATGTCCTTCATCACTTCCTATGCAGGTTATTCAACATTTAAGTTTTCTACCTAGACTGTTACACTCACAAGATGAGCTGGAAAATTGGCACATATTGTGGATGGCCACAACTTAGACCTTGTGGAGGCATAGAAACAAATACATATTTCAAGGAGGGACTTTCAATCATGATGATATAGTGGAAGGATATTTTGATGTACAGTTGGAGGTGGATGTAGACTCTCAAAAAATCATTTGACTTCACTTTCTTCCAGTGGTGTTGCAGCCTTGGTCCGTGTATTTGTTTTTTCGAGTACTGACAGGGGCTTGCAATCTCAAGGTACATAAATGGTAAAAAGGGATTTGTGCATCGTGGGGTGTGGGCTAGGGAAGTGTCTTTGTGTTGAGTATGAGGGCAGGGGTGCGAGTTAGGCTTGCTGAGTGCTTGCTGCTTGGTGTTTGTAACTGTCACATTTGTGATTGGTGTTTCACCATCACACTATTATGTGGTGGGTAGGATTGGGTTGTGATGTTGATTTCGATGGGTATGAGAGTGGGGAAGGGTTCAATGTGGTGGATGAGTGCTGGTAGCCTAAGTCATTGTAGTCTGCCAAGATCAAGGCGAGTCCACGGTGTTGGTTGGATTGACCAATTCAGATTATGAGTTGCACAGAGATGTTATGTGGGTATTTTCTTCACTACAATTATGTTTTAATACAGTAATTTGTCATGTACTTCATTTTCACATTTTCTTGACATTGTAAATAGATTTAAGGTACCCTTGTAACTAAGATAATATAATTAATTTGACTGCTAAAAAAAGGTATACTCGATTGAGGAGGAAAGTCAAACCAACAAGATAATAAAACATATCTAATATGATTTTTTGTGTACTAATTTTAATCGGTTATTAAAATGTAAATCCTTTGTCCAATATTTCTTTGGAAAACTTTTAATTATGTCACAATGTGCAATTTTTTTTATGGTCCGATTTGAGGAAGCTATTTTTTTACAACAACTTTAACAAATGTTACATCATATTTGTTATGTGATTTTGTCATGTAAAAATTTAACTTCATTATGTTATTATGAGAAACACACTTATTTTTTTACTCATAATTATTCAAAATTTGTACAAAATTAATTGATTGTGCTGGGATATATTATATTTTATTATTTTAAGTTGTTTCAATTATAATCTTACTACTTTATGATTTTTTTTATCAGTCATACCATGTTACAAGTGTGTGATAATAAATATAATTATATTTTTATCATTTATGTTTTTAATAGGTTTAACTTAGTCCTTTATATTTTAAATAGGTTATATTTAGTTCTTCGTGTTTTTAATAAAATAACATTTGTCATTTGTGGTATTAAAAAGTATGTCAACATGTATAATTAATAATCAACTCAAATTTTTTAATGTTGAACACTATGGATGTAACAAAAATATTATTTTGAATCATTTTATAAACAGATAAAATTAAATTTTTTAAAAGATAAAGAATCAAATTAAATGTAAAACATAATTAGATAAAGGATTGTCATAGCCATGCCATCTCCCAAATTAAAAAATCAAAACCAATTATGCCATCTCCCACCATCCACCCAAACTTTGCTAGAAAAAAAAAAAAAAAAAACATAACCAAAACCCATAAGTCATTACACCATCTTTTCCCCATCGTTATTTTTTTTTTTTTTGGTTCGTCCCTGGAGTATCCACCACTGATAGTGGTGACTAATCTCCTCTCTACGTTGGAGGCACCTCAAAGAGTTAGATAGCTGGTCCCAAGATTTAATGCGGTTACATACACAAGACAGGATTCGAACCCTTGACCTTGTTTAAGCGTGGATCAACCCCTACCGCTGAACCACACGTTTAAAATTTCCCCCACATCGTTATAGCCGCAACAATCGGCCTACCAAAGGGAGGTTTCCAAACTGGTGACAAGGGCATCACCGATTTGGTGCTTTAAGGGTTGAAGTAGTTTATGTTGGTTGGAAGCTTCCTTGATTTGGTGTTGCTAGGGTCGAAGTAGTACAAACACGTATATCGATTAAATCATAACCTATTTTAAAATGTTGTCAACATTTCAAAAAGGTCACTACATCATCTATTAAATTTGTACAGTATGACCAATTTAATAACTTAATGTCATAGGTTATTTTCGCTCTAGTGTATATATATGTTCAGCTTCAAAGTTGTTAAGATTTACAATTTTTGTATGATTAGGTACCTTATATACGTGCTTTAAATTGCTATGTTTTTATTTTTTATTTTTTATGTGATTTGATGCATTGCTGTATATTTTTTAATGTGTTTTATATTAAAGTTATATACGTGCTTTAAATTGGTATGTTTTTCTTATGTGATTTGATGCATTGCCGTATGTTTTTTAATGTGTTTTATATTAAAGTTATGCACACATTGAGTAAATTTTAGTTTTTCATTTGAAATTTAATCATTTGTATTAAATCTTCAATTATTTGGTTAGACAGTTTGAAATGAATAATTTTTTTTATACTTGATTGATATGTACAAGCTAAGCTCCTTTTTAAATTTTATATAATTTTAATTTATTGCATTTTGTGTTGTACTCTCGTTGCATATTTGATTGTAGTGGATTTTAACGTCGGCACTTTCATTTCATGTACTTAGATATCAACACAAAATGTTGTTAAAATTTAATAAGAAATTAAGAAAAGAGACTGTATTTGTATGTATTAACCAAGTAAAAAAATATCCTCTTGAATGGAGGGACCACTCCATATATAAAAAAATTTGAGATTGACATGGACGCTTCATTTTTTTATTATTATTGAGAATGAAAGTTATGGATCAAAGTTAGATAAATGTTGCATGCATAAGTCAAGGGTATAATGGAGTGGAATCGTTTATTGAAATTGTATTGCAAAATGTTGTTTATATAAATGAAAGATATTTTTGCTGTTAAATGTTTGAATGCAAGGCAGCTAATAATTGAAGATATAACGTTGCATCTTTTTTAAGACAGGTTTCTCAATGATTATACAAGTTAGATATGGCATGGTGAATAGCTTGACATTCCAAGTACGTTGCTTGAAACTCAAACCAGAACCTATACACAAGAGATTGATTTAAATATGATGATAGACTTGAGAACATGATTCATGGTGTAGTATAAGAATCATTCAAGCGAGCACATCTGTATGAAACCTTATACAGTGATTTAAAGAAACCCTTGTATCCAAACTGCACTAATTCAATTCAAAAGATTTTTAGAAGTAATGATATTGTTCTATCTTAATTAAAGGCAAGGAATGGGTGGTGATAAAAGTTTCACAAAATTGTTATAGTTTTGAAAGAAATTCTTTCAATTGGTAACACATTGTCGAATCCTAACTATAAGGCAAAAATTGTATTGTGTCTCATACATGCATACCTCAATCATATTGCATGTTGTATCAGGATAAGTTGGAAATAATGCATCAGGGTCAAACACTACAAGAAAAATGATTATTATCTACGGAATATTATCTACGGAATTTTTTCCGTAGATAATGTTTAGTTATCTACGGAATATTATCTACGGAAATTTTTCCGTAGATAATTTTTAGTTATCTACGGAATATTACATACGGAATTATTTCCGTAGATAATATTTAGTTATCTACGGAAATTTCCGTAGATAACTTATCTACGGATTTTTCCGTAGATAATTTATCTACGAAAATTTCCGTAGATAACTACACCCATAGATAAATTTCGTAGGTAAAACATTTTATTTGAAATATCAATTAACATTTTTTATTATCGTTTCATTTTAATTTATTGTAAAATAATTAAAATATTTAATTTAGCATCATTAAAAAAATAATCATTATAA